TGCAGTGCCACAGGGGACACTAACAGCAAATCCAGGATCAGGAATATTTCTATTTGAGATCCAGGGAGAAAGTGCAGACTTTGGAGGTGTGGGCCCATGGTTGGGGGAGATATTGGAGACCAGTGGCATCAAGCTGACTCCAGGAGCTCTGCTCCTGCTTGTTTCAGTTCCTGGGAGCTAATAAGCACCAGCTGCAGGAAACCTGAGCTGGAAAGCATTATGCAGCATTCCCTCTGTTTAAAAATACGCTTTTTTTCTGACTGTGTTTATGTTTTTATATATTGTAAAACATCACTTGTAGGGCATTCTAGCAGTGAAAACAATAGTGTGACAAGGGGACAGGTTCAGGTTGGACACCAGAGCAGGAAACACCTGTGAGCTCAGTGCCATCCTTTCCTTCGTGTCYGTGCTGCTGCGAGCTCAGCCCTGGCCCCTTGTGGGGCAGCTGCTGGCCCTGAGTAAGAGTTTCCAACAAACCCCTCTAGTACTGGATGTGAAATTTAGCTGCTTTTGACCAACTCTGCTGTAAAAACTTGGGAAGGATGTTTGTTTGCCCAGCCAGTGCTCGGGAAGGTGGCTGCTTCGGGGGGTGGCCAGGCAGAGCTGCTCCCAGCGGGTCTGTGCTTTGCWGGACCCTCTGGTTGTAGGTGGGAGGTGTGGATGTGTAAGAAGGTTTTGGGGTTTTTTTGTTCCCTTCTACAGAAAAAAATCTGGGCCATTCAAATSATTTGCCTTTTCCCTTGTGCTGACAATTTAACAGCCTTTTTAAAAGCTTTGGTTTCTCTCAAGTACGCTCGCCCCATACTTGTTTTAATTCTTGTGTGGAGGCCTGGAGCTTAACAATTATTTTGCTTAAGCTCTCTGAGACTTGCCATAAAACTTTTTTTTTTTTTTTAAACACACACATGCTAATGATCCCCATCAGATCATATTGTTAAACAGGGAATAAAGTGCTTGCACCACGATGACATTATTTAAAAAAAATGTTAAAAGCAGGCCAGCAGAGCCCATTTCAACAGTTTCTCTCTGAAATAATTTGCACAGATTTGTTGGAGTTAATTTGTTGAAAAGTTCAGTGTTTGTGCAGGCAAGTCCTGGTTTCCACACTGAGACACAAGAAGCRGGAGAGGAGTGAGTGGGTGTCCAACATTTGTAGGAGCAGGATGGTGGGAACTTTCCTCCCTCTTACCCTTTTTCCCCCTCCCAGCTGCCCGGTGCAGGAATGCAAAAGCAGTGTCAGAAGGCTGGGAAAGTCAGCTTTGGATTTTTGTGGACTCCCTGCAAATCAGAGGAACTGTCTGGCTCAAATCTGCATTTAGGGCCAAGAGAAGAGGATTTCCTGCTATTTAGTTGCTCGAGGAAGGAAAGGATTTACCTCTSTGCTGTAGCAGGACTTAATTTTTCTCCTTTTTAATAAGAATATCACAGCGCAGGGCAGCAATAGCGAACCTGTGTGCACAATCACTGCTCTCCCTCCTCTTCCCCGTGGTGATGCAGCTCTCCCCCCTGCCCAAGCATCCTCCTGCAGCASCTCCCAGCCCCAGCAAGGGTTTGGCATGTCCCTGCAGTGGGACAGAGAGCTGTGACACCACACCAYCGCTCCCCGGGCCGGCTGCCGCGCTCAGCTGCCATCTGGATCCAGTTAGCTCTCTCGGCAGTAGGGCTGAGTCTCATTTCCTCCAACCAGTAATGTTATATAGGCAGTGATCCTGCTCTGCCCTAACATAATTGAAAATTATGTGTATTGTAGACTCGCAGCGCTGAAATGTAGACTTGTAAAAATCTGTGGCTCAGGTAGCCTGTGGAGATTGAATTTGGCACACAATGAAGCTTTTATGTAAAGTAAGAATTATAAGCCACCACATCAATATTGTGTTACAGGCATGACAATTCTTGGACGAGGAGGCCTTGAGTCGGGCTTGTCACCTTAAACAATGCTAATATTTCATTCTTTATCAACAAGGCTGGCATTTTGAAGCCAGCAAATTGGACTTTTTTTTGCTTTTGCAAACATCCTGCCGTCGAGGCTGTGGGTTCACGAGCTCGACATGGGCATTGGCTGTGGGCTCTGGCCCCTTCTCCTTATCTGACAGACAGAACATCTCGCCCTTGGCGGTGCTGGGAGGCTGCTCTGGATCCTGGCCACTTGGTAGAGCTCATGGAAGTTGCTTTCTCGACCCTTGTGCGTTAGTGCTTTCCCTCGGGTCTGGTTATTTRGTTTTATTTTGTCTCCCACCGGTGCATTATCCACTGGCAGAAATGGAAGCTGTCCACGTCTGTGCTTGTGTGCAAAAACGGAGCCCTCTGGGTTTGGACTGTTCGTGCTGGGCTCCGTGTGCGTGTCCAAGAGAAGCTGTTTGTGCTTTAGCCTTTGCACYGTGAGACTTCTTGGATCCTCTTTGCCAGGGGTGGGTAAGAGAAGRGCTTTAGCGAGAGTCCAGACTGAGGGTTTTAAAAGGAGAAAAACAAAGTGTAACAGTAAGATCTTCTGAAACGTTCATCTTGCCCTCAGGTCAGCCTGGTGTAGGAGCTGAAAGTACGCTCGGAAAGCACGGGCTGTTGTGGGATAGAGGTGGAGAGGGAGCAGCCATGCCTTCTTGCTCTGTTTCTTCTAATGGAATTTATTGCTAGTAAAAACCAGCAGAACTGACAGTCCTGAAGGCTTTGTAATCCCTGCAATAATTACTGGCTGGATGGGGTCTGCTGTGASCTCACCCCTGCTGCCTGTCAGTGCCTCTGCCTGCCCTTGGGGCAGTCTCAGAGAAGCCCACGTGTTCCTTGGCCTGTGTTTTGGGACAGCTGCTGACCTGAGCTCCTCACAGGTTGTGGTTGTAGGGATATTCCAGGGTCACTTATGGCTGTGGAATGGTCATGGAAAAATGAAGATGATGGGTTTATTTTTATGGCTTGGTGGCTGTTTCAGTGGCCTGAAAAGCCACYGTTTGAGCTGTCGTGTTATTGTAGGGGCTTCAGCTGTGGCTTCCTTGGAAGAAGGGAAAAATACTTCACTAGTTGTCTGGAAAACCTGGGGAAACCAGTGGTAGCTGTGACCTATCAGGACCCTTTCTGCAAATTTGTGCCCCACTATGTGGTGGTGTTCAATTGCTGTCAAAAAAACTGGTGGCCTTTTGAAAATGCAGCAGTTGACTTGTTTAATAGTGTCATCTGCAAATCTGAAATGTATCAGATTTCCCCTCAAAAAGCTCTCAGTTGGCTTAGGGTTTGAGTCCAAATTCTGCACACTCGGGTTGCATTCTTATGCACTTTTTTTGAAACCACAAAGGGTTAGAAAGTTGCTTTAACATCATCTCAACTTTAAAATTTATGTTGTGGTCACATATATTGAAGAGCAGGGATTTSATGCAAGTGATCAAGTATCTGGAGGCTTACAATCGAGTTGTAAGAGTTAGAAACGTYGCTTATGGGTAGTCTAGGTCTGGTTTGTTTGGGTTTTATTTCTTGTTTTTAAGAACTGCTGAAACATTCTGGTCCACATTGCWCAAATCCCAAACGTGAACATGAATGAGAACAAGACTTCTTGGAACTCGAGGAACTCATGTGGGGCACAAATCCAGAGTATGGGTTTGTTTATTTGCATTCCAGTAGCTTGGAAAACTCAGGCCCTCCAAGTGATGGGAATTGGTAACACATCCTCCTGCTGGCTCCTGCTTTTTGGGCGCCTCAGTGCCCAGAGTCTTGCAGCAGACAGGCCTTGCATGTGAGCAAATGTTCTGCATACATGAGCAAATGTGATGGTGATGTGCTGAAAGCAGGGAACCAGATCTCCTTCCTTCCTTCCTTCCTTCGTGGAGATTCAGATTCAGCTTCCGCTGCCTGCCTGGAGTGGCAGGGGCTGCTTGTGTGTCGTGGTTCTTCGAGATAACACTTAAAAAAAAAAAAAAAAGAAGGAGGAATGGGTAACCATAACTATTTCTCTAGGTATTTTCTAGTAATAGATCTGTCAGGTCAACCAGAGTCTAGTGCTAAATAGGAGCTTCTGCAGTGGCCTGATCTATGTGTGCAGCTGCTTTTCTTAGTTCTGGGAGGGGGCTGAAGGTATGTGGCCGTGCACATTTCTTCCAGCACGATACAGGGTTTTCAGAATTCCTGTATTAACCTATATTAATGGGGCCAGCGCAGCACCGTGCTGAGAGAAAAGCTTGGGCTGAAATTATATTTAGATGTGCAGTGCAGAAGTTTGTTTGGGATAACTCATTTCTCCGTGGGCCTGCTCTTGTTCAGAGTCAAGCCTTTCTGGTGCAGCAGTCTGAAGTTTTTTTTGCTTTTGAATCATTGCCCCTTATGCTGCAGACACGGCACCTGAGTGTGTTCAGCCTGTCTGCCCGTGGCAGTGCCACAGAGGAATGGTGGCTGTCCCYGAGCCAGATTCTCTGGCAGAAGATAAGCAAGGAGAAAATAGTCTGTGGTGGCTTTCAGAAATGGTGAAAAGTAGCGAAAATAGGTGCTAAGGTTTAGCAGTGCTGGGTGGTTCTGGGGTAGAGCTCTGTCTTTAGGGCTCACACAGTGCTGGGGAGTTGGAGCAGTTGATTTGGTGCATTTGTTGAAAGAAGGTTSACAGATGACCCATTCAGTACTGAGATCATATTCTTAACTCACRATATGTTTTCCCTCTCCTGACGCTGATATCCACCTTTCCCCTTGTCCCATCTTCTCCATGGTTATGCTATTTTGTTTCTTTGTGGGCTTTATTCTACTTCTAGATGTGTTATGATTAGTAAAATTGTTGTAAAAATGTCTTTGCAATCTTGTATTTTTGTATTCCTGAACTGTAATACAGTGGTATGAAATTGTTAGTTCTGCACAGATTTTGTCTCCACAAACATATGTAAAGTTGTCTTAATTTTTGTTTCAGTTCCTTGCATAAATTTTAATTTATACTTTTTTTATCCATGTTACCTAAGATTTGTTTTGTTTTTCTTTTTTTTGCCTTTCTTTTCTGAACTCATTTTTCTTTTCCCATTTTTGTTTCCTCCATCCAGTATCTGCAGATGAAATGGCCACTGCTTGATGTTCAGGCAGGGAGCCTTCAGAGTAGACAAGCCCTCAAGGATGCTAGGTCTCCATCTCCAGCTCACATTGTTGTAAGTAAACACAGAAAGATGTTCTTCCTTTGTTTAAAAAAAAAAAAAAAAGCGGCATTTGACATTAATGGCATTGGTTATCATCAATTTTCTTTTACACAGAGCAAAGGAGAAATACCTCAAAACAAATAAATCCCTAACGAGCGTGTGGTAAAAGGAGGGAATAGTTTTGCTATTGCTGKGCTGTTTATGAAATTATCATCCATGTGCCTTGCAGGAGACCAGAGAGTAAAAAATGCTCTAAATTTACACACTRCAGAATTACTTAGTGGCAGTGGAGTCCAATCAGGCTGGTTTACACATCTGACAGTGTTGAACTGAAGGGAGTAAAGAGACTGTCTGGAAAGCATTAGAAAAATCAAAACCAAGCCTATTTTATGTCCTTTACTTATAGAAATTTTTCCTTGATGTAAAATTTTGGATGAGAGTTTGTGAGAATGGGTCAGCATTTTACCTGGGTGAAGGCTCAACAGAGCCAAGTTCAACAAAGCACATGTCCCTTTGTGTTGTGATGACTTCTCATTTAGTATAAACAGTGTTATCCAATGTTTGYTGCTACCTGCAAAATATGAAACTCTCTTTATAATGAGTATAATTTTTATTTTAAAAATAGCTTTATTTATTAATGTCAAACTTAAATTTTCAATTCTTGGTTGATTTTTCTTGCGCTTCTGTTGTGAAAACAATGTTGAGTTTGCAATGTTCGGTACAAATTTTTACGAGAGTGGTTTAGAGGTTTATTTTACTTTCTAGAATAACATCCATGGGGGTCTAGAAGGAGATTGTTTACGTGGTGATTTACAAGAGAGGTGATGCAATGGCCCACCCTCACCCATAGTCAGTGTCAGTGCCATCTCTTGTTAAGGAGCTCTGTCTGTTCATCTGGGAAATTTACCTCTGGAGAAGATGGCATGTAGTGGKTTAGAATATTTCTTCTGAAATAATTCATCATGAAGTTTAATGTGATTTTTTTTTTTTTTTTTTAAAAAAAACCCATTTTTACAACCATTGGATGATAAAGTAAATACCAGGATAAGAAACTCTGCTCATACTTTACTTTTTGCTCTATAGTCTAAAGCTGATATCGGTGGTAAATCACCCAAGGCACAAATTTGTTTTGCTGTATATCTCAAATCATACTAAACATTTTGAGGAGCTTCTTTTTCCATTGTTATCGCTTTAAATTGAGAATTGTCAGCCATTTGTGAGGAGTGTCAGACTTCTTCATTTGAAAAGAAAAAAMGATTTCCTATGCTTTAGAATCCAGAGCTTCTAAACCATTCCTCAATCCATCAGAGAGCAATTGGAACAAGTCGGGTATTGGCCCAGTTGATACCTAGCGCTGGCTGCTTCACTTTTTCCGAATCATTTTGCTTTTCCTTCCTGTCCACTTGGGCTGTCACTGGAGGAAGAGATCAGAGAAAAGATGAGTGGCTGGYTATTCTGGAATCTGCAGTCATCAAAACCTGCCATCATCTTGCTCTTAATAAGAAACGAGCCAGAGAAACTTTCCTATTTTAGTTCTTTCCTTTTGACTRCTGTGCTGGAGGACTGACACAGGGGGTGGGATTGTTCTGGGGCTCTGGTGTGCTGGATTGGTGTCAGGTTTGTAGGAAGCGATGGAGAGGGAGCAGGAGGCTTCTCCTGGGTGAGTTTGGTTGGGATCACCTGAGCTCCCCAGCACTGAGCACCCCCTGTCCCTGAGCCTCCTTCCTTTTGGGACCAGGGGGTTGGTTGGGGTCTCGGCTCCCCTGGCTCTCTCCAGCCCTTCCATCCAGGTGTGGGCGAGGTGGAGACAAGTGGTCAACAAAACACACAAAAAGGGTTCAAAAATCACAGTCGTTTTGGAAAATGAAGCCAAACCTGCTTCCAGGGCGACCGAGGTTGATCTGCTTTGTATTTTGACCATTTATGGGGTTCTTATGGGTCTCTTTAAAAGCTGTTTCACCCTGCTATTCAATAAAAAGCATATTTACCATAGCAACCACTTAGGCCATGAGGAACATATACTACCTCTGAGATGGAGGCCACCTTCCGAAAGAGCCACAGCTGGCATTTGTAATGTGATCTTTTGTGCTACTTACAATGTTGGAGGGAGAAGAGGCGAGGGAGGGAGTGAGGGGGAGAGCAGTGGGTTTTTGGGAGGCGGGGGGAGGAGGTTCTGCAAGGTTTAATGTTTATTTCCAGCAGCAAACTGTTTTCCCTTGTTCTGTTAAAATACATAAATAAGGGGCAGWTTTTTCCATCCTTTTTCTTGGCACTGGCCCCAGGCCACATTAATTTTGTGGAGTGAAAATGGTCTTGTTTTTTGGTAAATAAAGTTAGAGCGGGTGATGGCATTCGGGGGAGATGAAGTGGTTGCAGATTCCAGTTGGTCTGGGATGTGTCAGGTGTCCCCAGTGTCCCCTCTGCTGCTGCTGTGCTGCCCACAGCACCTGGGACCTGGCTGCTTTTGCACGGGGCTCTGCACCCAATTCTGCAGTGCTGAAAAAGCAATTTATCTTTTTGCAGAGCAGTGAGGGGTATTTCTGGGCATGCTGATGTTTCTGTGCTAGTGTAATGTGGAGGGATAGAAACTGGTCCTCTGCCCTCSTTGCTGTGTCTAGTCTGCCCATCAAGGGTACCTGTGCCAGTTTTTCATCTTTAAATCGGTTGGGCTGCCCTGAAGATCTGTMGGAAAATGCTAACACCTGCAAATCACTTCTTATCTTTCCTCTATCTCTGAAATCAGGATTTGAGGCTAATCTTCGCAGCTGCATTACAAAGAGAGGAAAGGAGAGTGTGGGGGTTTGGGTTTATTTTTCCCCTTCCTTTTTTTTTTTTCCTTCTTTTTGACCCCACTTTCTTTTTTCTTCCCCTCTTTTTTTCTTCCTTTTTTTTTCCTTCCCTTTTTTAACACTTTTTCTTCCCAGTGCTTGGCTGTGACAACCCCAAGCTCTTTACTCCCAGCTCCGATGAAACGCCCCTTAGGAGTTCAGCTTCATGACTCCATGCTGCATAAATGGCCATCTGTAATGTCTTCAGTAAAATCTGTTCTATTTGTCAGCCATCCTCCTTTCAGATTTGTTTAAGAACATTAAGTTAAGACTACAAAAATTGAAGCAAAAGACCAGCATGAATAATTTGGCCGGATTGCTGCCCCCAGTGCCGAGGGCTGGGTTAATACTGCTTTTTCATGGTGCTTGAGAGAGTCTCCAAGGCCCATAATGAGACACAGAATATTAAACTGAAATTATGTTCAGTATRTCTTGAGGAAGGTACAGCATGAGGCTCCATTTAAGACCAGTGCATTTATTTACATTTAGGCGCTTCACTCATCTGATAAGACTTTTTGCATCTTGCTCTGGCACAGTCATGCTGTTTGTCTGTGTCCAAAGGTGAAAGAAAACCGGGGGAAAAATTGTTTTAATAGTGTACTATTAAGCTTGCTAGGTCAAAATTTTGAATTCAGCCTGTGGATAGCACTATTGCAAAGCTGGGATATTTTTTAAGTGTGCTTATGGTTATTTCCCCTCTTTTTTTTTCTGACCTTTGATTTCATTGAWGGTATTAAGATTTTGTGAAACAGTCTTAGCAGGAAGTTTTGGGTGTAAGGCAGACCCCAGCTGGGTGYCCTGCTCTCGGGGGGTAGGGTGCTAGTTGTCCTGAAATCCCATGGTCAGTGTGCTGCCAGCATGGTGATAGGGATGAGAGATGGGTGCTGTGGGAGTGGGATTTTCTCATCTCCTGTACATCTGAACATCTGAACATCTGTTCATCCTGAACATCTCCTGTAGCAGCCTGGACAGGCAAGTGAAAATGAGCAAGGTGTGTCTGCGAGGATCTCTGTAATCTGCTCGCTGCAGAAGGCAAGCTCCTTCAAAACCCTTTTTATCTGTGTGCATTCCTACAACCTTCAGGAGAATACCAGTGCTGTTCTTCCCTGTTCTCTGCAAAGTAAATGCTCTGACTCAGCCATTGCCTGTTTTGGGCAGGAGTGGGGGTACAAGACCAGTCCTGGGATCCTGCCTCCTGCAGGCTGTGCACAGACTTGGTTTTAGCTTCCTTTGCACCGAGCAAAAACATTCAGAACCCAAGATGATGGTGGCTTGGTACAATATATTCCTTATAAAGCAGTAAGGGGTTTAAAAAATTCCTGCATTTTGAAGTAAATGTCAGTGCTAACCTCGGGGGGAGGACTTGCAGTACTTTTTGGCCTGATGTGTAAGGAACACAGCCATATAGTAGACTGAATCACTGAGAACAAAGAATCACTGTGCTGTAGTGTATCTATTTTTTTCCTTTTTTTTTCAAGAAAGTAAAAATGTTTTTTCAAAACATAATGTGACAAGCAAAACTGGAGGGAAAACCATCTGAAATGTACTGACTGTTCTCAGCCTCTTCGATGAGTGCGGGCAGCGGGCAGCGCGCGTCTGGGACCTCTGGGTGGTTTGGAGAGATCAGGAGTTTTTTCCCTGAGCAACTGGAGTTGAAGCTTCATAGTCTGTTCCCAAAGTTTTTGGTCTGATGCGGTTTGTACTTCTGCATTTTGAACGAGAAAACAGTTATCTTACTTGTGGTAGTTTGGGTTRTCGTAGCCAGATTTTAAAATGCACCTTCAGCGTGACTTCAGAGAGGCCAGGGGTTGGGTGCATGCAGGCAGACAMGCTGTCCTGTGTGTGTGGAGCCATCTGGAACCACAATCTTGTAACTTCCCCTCACAGTGCTCCAAGAGGGTTTTAGAGCTCTTGCTTTGTTGGTCTTGTTGTAGGGAGGTTGTTCTTCCTCTGTGGTAACCTCTTGAGATGTTCTGGGATTCCAGGCTGCCTGCATGCATTGTAGGACACCCTCTTCCATCCCTAGAGATCTGCAGGGTGATCAGGAGCACAGTGGTGGTGTGGGGGAAGGATTTAGGGTTTGGGTGGGCATCATTGATGTCAGTACCTGGTATYTGAGAGGGACACAAGTGGGCAGGAGGAGAGGGCTGTGTCCGAGCTGTCCTGGTGCCTGGTCAGTCCCYG